GGAGAGGAAGTCCCGGCGACGGAGAGGTCCGATTGAGCAGAAGAGGCGATTTTGACGGGGGACTGCGGCGTGCAAACTGCAGGGTGACGGATGGCGGCAAAACTACAGGGCTGCGAAACGGCGCGGCAACCTCTAGGGCGCGGCGACGACCTCCGATGGGGATGGGGTTTTTTGATGTGTGAGAGAAAGAGATAATGGGGCGACCTCCAGGGGCGGCGACGACCTAACTCATATTTCAACTATTTAATGAAAATCCCACCTCTAATTAGAAATATTCGCATCATTCATATTACTAAATCATAAGCTATAGGAAAATTTAAAAGAGATGCTTTAACTGATTAAATTCAGACCTTTTGCTTAACAACGGGGCTCTTGTGATCGAGGTGCTTGAGGATGTAATCAGAGACCTCTTTAACGATGCTGACATGAGAACTCCTGAAAAGATCACAGACCTCCTCCAATTTGTACACAGGAGCTACCTTGTCATCGTCTGATGTCACTCCGTCGATCATCCGAGATCTCTAGTACGCTTCCACTGCTCTCCTGCTCGAATCCATGGTGATCCCAATCGATTCAAAACCCTAGAAATATGATCGCCTATTGGATCTGTTCGTGGTTGGGAGAGAGAAACCTTAGAGAGAGAAAGACGAGAGGGAAGGTGATCTGGTGAAGGTACTATGGCATGCGCTGGGTTAACGGGAAAAAACAGAGCACCACCGAGTAAGGCGTTTTTTTTTCCGTGTGAGGCAGCTACAAGGAACAGGGCTTATAATGTGTGAGAGGGACGGAGAACGGGGCCGATTTGGGGTTTTTTGTTTTGTTTTTTCAAATTTCGCGAAAATAAAAGGGTAGAATTTTCACTCTGTGTTTAGGCTACAACTACTTGTCCCAACGGCTTTAACCGTTGAGGTTTGTGCGACCATCCCAACGGTTTTAACCGTTGAGGTTTGTGCGACCATCCCCAACGGTTCTGTCCACCTGTTGGGGCTGACCCTCTTTTTACTAGTACGCTTTCTTCTTTTCTTTTTGGCAAACCAAACAACTGATTGTGGGGAAAACAACTAAATTTTCAAATGTTAATTTTCTGTGGGTCTTATTTTTGTTGTTTTTATACCAACCAAACAGCCCCTAACATGAATTTTTGGGATTTATATGTAATAGTCGCGAGTCTAATGATACGACCAATAACATTATTTTTATTTTTATTTCAAATGGACTCAAGCTCGTTAGTCGCGAGTCTAATGATACGACCAATAACATTATTTTTATTTTTATTTCAAATGGACTCAAGCTCGTTCAGTACTTCATCAAGTCTTCCTCCCACCAACCAAAGTCCCACCTACCAAATTGACCTCATTAACTCTTCGTTTAATTATGCGTCAATGCATGTGGGAAAATTCAAAATCACCTACCAAATTGACCTCATTAACTCTTCGTTTAATTATGCGTCAATGCATGTGGGAAAATTCAAAATTATAATCCTATACCTATGTGCCCATTATTTTTATTTTTATTTTTATTTCAAATGGACTCAAGCTCTTTCAGTACATAAGGTCCTCCTCTGACCAGCAAAAGTCCCACCAACCAAATTAATGACACCAAATTGACCTCATTAACTCTTCGTTTAATTACATGTCAATTCATATGAGAAAATTCAAAATTGCAATCCTATACCTACGTGCCCATTATTTTTGTTTTTATTTTTATTTTTATTTTTATTTTCTTTTTTCCTTTCAAATGGACTCAAGCTCGTTCAGTTCTTCATCAAGTCCTCCTCCCACTTTTTATTTTCTTTTTTCCTTTCAAATGGACTCAAGCTCGTTCAGTTCTTCATCAAGTCCTCCTCCCACCAGCAAAAGTCCCACCAACCAAATTAATGACACCAAATTGACCTCATTAACTCTTCGTTTAATTACGCGTCAATGCAGGTGGGAAAATTAAAAATTGCAATCCTATACCTACGTGCCCATTATCTTATTTCCTCTAAGTGTTTTTTGCTTATAAAACCAAGAGTTATACCCCTATTTATTTTAAAACCCATGTAGTTCTATATGTTCTTTACACACTGTTGTGCACAGCGGAACTCAAAAGCCAAATAGTACTGAGCAAGAGCGAGATATATCACAACCAATAAGTAAAACACAATCACCATAGCAAGACAACAAATTTTATGTGGTTCGGCAAGTTGCCTACGTCCATGGGGCAATGAGGGAGGAGTTTTTACTATTAGAGATAAATAGAATACAAATAGGGTTTACAATCTCACCAAAACCATCAAACAAAACTCTCAAAATCTCTCACAAATTCTCCCTCAAAGGATGCACAATTCTCTCTTAAAAACTGCTTAAAGTCGTCCTTCAATTAACCCTAGAAACAACAAAGTTTCTATTTATATGAACGGCAAACCCAAACCAATCAGGAAACTGAACCAGGGCCAAAATTGAGATCCGGTCAACCGGAATTTAGCCTCGGTCAACCATCCAGAACGCTAAAATCTCACAAAATCAATTATAGGGTTTCGATCGACCGAACTTAGACTACCGATCGACCGGACATAGTTCTCGGTCGACTGACATAACTTCTCGGTCGACCTATCAGAAAATCAGAAAATCACCCTGTAGTGTGCACGTTTTCGATCGACCGGACTGCACCAAAAATGTCCTGCTTCGTTTTTCTTAAACTTTTTTGCCGTTTTCGTCGTTTCTACAAATCTCCACCTTGGCGAAGTTTCCCAAAAACTAAGCCGACACTAAAAACAACCAAAATGTCACACTTGTTGCGTCTAGTACGAAGTGGAATAAATCCACGATAACGGACTTAATCTACAACAAGTCGGGAACCCTACCGAGAGCTCAAACAATCTCCCCCATCCTCCTCCTCGAAATCAACAAATCCAACCGGCTGCATCAAAAAGACTGCTTACGTATCCTCTTTCCCAAGGAATCAAGCCGAACGTAGTTCATCCAAATAGCCTCCAAATGTCCTCAACATTGAAGAATGTTCAATAGCTTCAAACAATGACTAAATTTCACACCTGAAATAATTTTGGTCAACATATCTGTAGGGTTATCCTTCGTGTGGATCTTCTCCAATATGACGTCTCCATCATCTAAAACATCACGAACAAAGTAGAATCTGACATCAATATGCTTCGGGTATACATGCTATCACAATATACCCAAATGGTTTTCTGTGCAATCCCCAAGTCTTCCAATAATCCATGTAACCACAAAGCCTCCTTAACAGCTTCAGTCACCACCATATACTCTGCCTCTATAGTAGAGAGAGCCACTGTAGACTGAAGTGTACATCTCTAACATATCGGTGCTCCTACTAATGTAAACACATATCTTGAAGTAGACTGACGCTTATCAAGATCCCCTGCATAATCTGAATCCACATAGCCAATACAATCCTGTCCTGTCTTCTCATTCTTTCGAAAAATCAAACCAACATCTACGGTGCCTTTAATATACCGTATAATACACTTCACGGCCTCCTAATGACCCTTCCCAGGGTCGTGCATGTACCTCAATACCATGCTCATGGCCTGTGATAAATTTGGCCTCTACACATTATCGCGTACATCAAGCTACCCACCGTACTGGCATATGGAACCTTTAACATATAATCTCTATCGTCAACCAAAACATGTGACATCAAAGCTGAAAGCTTAAAGCGGAGAGCCAATGGAGTACTCACAGCATGTGCATTACCATCAAAGCTAAATTTCTTCAACATTTTCTACAAGTAACTCCTCTGTGTAAGCTTCAATCTCCCCTTCACCCTGTCTCTCTCAATCTCCATACCCAATATCTTCTTAGTTTCTTCAAGATTCTTCATCTCAAACTCGGATGACAACTCCTTTTTTAACTTTCGAATAGCCGAAGAATTCCTGGAAGCAATAAGCATATCATCAACATATAACAACAAATAAATGCACTCACCATCTTGTAGCTTGTGCATGTAAACACATGAGTCATATGAGCTCCTCGTGTATCCATGGCCAATCATGAAGCTATCGAATCTCTTCTATCACTATCGTGGTGATTGCTTCAAACCCTAAAGAGACTTCTTCAGCTTGCACACAAAATCTTTCTTTTCCTACAGCTTTGAATCCCAAGGGTTATGTCATGTAGATCTCCTCATCTAAATCTTCGTATAGAAAGACTGTCTTAACATCCATTTGGACCAAATCCAAATTTAGTTGTGCCACCAATGTTAATAAAATCCGAATCGACGAATGCTTCATAACGGGTAAAAATACCTCGTTGTAATCAACACCCTCAAGCTGTGCATATCCATTGGCAACCAATCTGGCTTTGTATCTAATGTACCCAATAGAATATCCCTCTTTCTTCGCATATACCCACTTACAACCAATAACTTTCTTTCCCTTATGTAGCTTAGCAAGTTCCCAAGTGTCGTTCTTCTGAAGAGACCATATCTCCTCCTCCATAGCTTCCCTCCACCTGATCGAATCAGAGCTAGACTCTGCCTCCTTGAATGTAGAAGGAACCATATTATTAACTACATCCACTGATAAAGCATATGTAATCATGACATCATTGTATCTAGCTGGTCGACGAATCACCCTTCTAGGTCTATTTGCTGTAATGGACTCCTGAACATGACCCTACTCCTGAGTCTCACCAACCATTGTATCCTCATATATACCCGACTGTCATCCCATCTCCTCCTAGTGTCACCTCTGTAGGAGCCTCAATGGATACAATGCTATCTAGAATGGGTGGAGTCACATCATCCTCCACTTGCTACGATATCTCACTACTTTGGTCTTCCTCCACCTGCTGAGGAACTTGAGGCCTCATCATGTACGCCTCATCAAATGTGATATCTCTTCTAATGACTATCTTCTTATCCTATGAATCCCATAACTTGAAGCCTTTAACACCTTCTCTAAATCCCACAAAGACAACTTTTCTCGCCCTCGGATTCAATTTTTCATCATTGA